TGGCCGATTAGGTCGATCATATAGTTCTGAAATATAATTTTCCCAAATTTTCAGCACTTGCTTCTGATCTACTATTCTATTCCCCTGTGAGTCTTCGATGCCAACATTTTGAATCCCATGATTCTCTTTCCATCCTAGTTCTTTTGTCTTCATGTACATATTAGTTTTATTTTTTGCTGTAGGCAATCAGTAAGAAAAGTAAGTCCTGTAGTATAAACAGGATTTATGTGGTGAAAATGTCGGTGTAGAAGAACCCAAGACTCATCAAGTGATGTTACAGGGGCACTAACCTCCTTACGCATGAAGCTGAGCCCTTCTGGAGGAGCTGCCAATTCTGCAGCCACTAAAGAATTTCCCAGCATTTTATGGAACCCGAAGGTTCATTACCGTGTTGACAAGAGCCCTCCACTGGTCCCTATCCTCAGCTAGCTCAATCCAATCCATACCATCCCATTCTATCTCTCTAAGATCCATTTCAACATTGTCCACCCACCTACGCCTTGGTCTTCCCAGTGGTCTCTTTCCTTCTGGCTTTCCCACAAATATCCTATACGCATTCCTCGTCTCCCCTATTCGTGCTACATGCCCTGCCCACCTCATCCTCCTTGACTTGATCATTCTAATTATACTTGGAGAAGAGTACAAGTTATGAAGCTCCTCATTGTGCAGTTTTCTCCAACATCCTGTCACTTCATCTCTCTTTACGGGGGCACTATTAAGAATAAATTATCTCAGGCTGAAGGGAGGAAGCCCTTACACGTATCCGTGTATTGGCAAGAATGTAACATTCAGCAAGTGTTGGTAGACCGCTCATATCAAAGTCGCGCAACATGTTCATATTTGTGTACCCGGGCTTTGGAGTTCAACTTTTTAGGGCTTCTCTGCTTAGGTACAAAAGATGACTCGGAAGTTGTACATTAATTTTTAAGCACACTTATTAAAAATTCTTTTTAGGTGAAGCAATACGCAACTTCGTAAAGTCGGTTCCAACGCCTGTGCCAGGATCCTGCATTTCATGACATGGAGTCCCCCGTCTTTGTTATCCATCTTGGGAGTCTGAACATCTGTTCTGATTTCCTTTGTTCAAAATGTCGCAGATAATTACAGGTTAATTTCTGATGCGAACAATTAGCCGAGGCGTGTTGTTCTCTNACGTTCATTCATTTGTTGAGAAAAATGATGATTGGAGTCAAATTATTCTTTACCCCTAAAACTATATAAATTTTAAGTCTGCCTTTTTGAGAAGAATATGAAAAATAAAGCGAATTATACCTTTCTTAATATAAATAGTCCTTTCCAGAAATACAGTCAAAACAAAAATGCAATACGTTGAGAAACAACGTTACTATAACAAACCATGTGGACATCGACAGCTGATGTATATGACGCTGACGTACAGTAAGGTGTAGCCTGGTACACGGATTCAAATGTCGGAGAGATACGATTCTTGTGTGATCTGTGACAGCCATATGTTGTATGTTCCCTCTAGCAAAAGCTTGATAATATTGTTTATTTCAGGTATGTTCCAAAACATGGTCCAGATTTCCAGAAAGTACGAGTCAACTTTTTGCTTTTGGAAAGGATATGAACTCTTCGTCTTCGTCCAAGACGTCAAGCATATCGCGGTAAGCTGCCAGTTACATTCCTAGATTTATGTGAAGATACTGCACAGCTGAAGTACAAACGCAAACTGGGGTTCTCCAGACAGGGTATGCGTTGTTACTTTAAATTCGAGGTTCACACACATGTGATTATCTGGGATATAACACCGTGCAGTCTTTTGAAAATTAGCATTTGTTTCGGAGGAATATGTCGCCTCCATCTTCAGAGTGGAAGAATAAGTCAAGTAAGAAGCTTATTCTTCGACACTGAAGGTCGCGAGAATATGATCCTCCATGAAAATACAAGTTTTCATGCTTTATTATTTCCCGTATTTCCTAATGTTAACATCGGCTTCTGTAAAAGTTAATGAGAACTGAAAGCACTGAAGGGGAAGTGTAAAGAGGCTTGCGCAGTCACGTCCAGAGGAACTCGTAGGAAGCATCATTCAAACTCTTCGAGAAGCTGAGAAATGCAAAGGCGCCGTAACTAATTCTTTTGCGGCTTTCTCTCAGAGTAGAGTGGGCTGCGTCACTTGAATAGGAACGCCAGACATTCTGTCGTGTCTCACACCCAGATATCCGTGGCTAAACACCGGATTCACACCACAGGGGACCGCATTCAGTCTCTGGAGGCTTCACGTGGTGTCCGTGGTGAACCAAGTGTCACCACACGTGTATGATAGCCCGATCCAGGCAGCGAATCATCTCCATCTGATCCGGCACTTGGCTGCTTATAGAACAACGTAGTCTCTTTTATGAATATCTACGAAATTCCATGGTGGATGTAGCTATCACTCTGTGTTCCTTAAATTCCTCTCACAATGTTGAGCGGGTTGTTCGTCTCACAGACCTCTTGAGGGGGGAGGCAAACGTAGAGGTTGCTGAAACTGCAAATGTGTAAGCAGTAAATTTAGAAATGTCAGCAAATGGTTATACGATGTTTCCATATGCCGGCCTGAATTGACGCAGCCTGAACATTGTGTCCTGGGTTCGGATCCCTCCTGGAACAAAAGCTATATGTTATATTCGCTCTGGATTATTCTGTGATGATGGTAAACACTTTGTAATGACTGATTGCCCAAACCAAGGAAAGACACGGTCTGGGTCGCATAATCCTAAATATCTACGAAGTTGAAGGAAATAAAATTTCGAATTGAACTGTAGCGGTATTAATAATGACTGGTACGATCACGTCACTGCACACTGATCTCATTACGTTTGTTTCTATGTTTAAGGCTTTGTTATCAGACAGCGAGGAAGTGGGCAGACCTTGCATTTATAAATACTGGGAGCCCTGGCTAGGATCAAGTCTGGCGATTGCTGAAGGCAAGTCTACTGCACTTCTTGCCGGGCGCTGCAGTCCTCTTGCAATGACTACTTATAGACTATGGATCTTCTTAATGAGCAGACATCACAGTCAGAATGAAATGTCGTGTTGACAGCTTCAACAGTATCTTCCGGCAGGAACATTAATGTCACGTCCTTTCAGGAACTGTAAATTAGTAATAATGCAGTGATTTATTTATACGTATAATTTTCGATAGTATGATTATACGGAGGGGGCAGGCGGCAGCAGGCGGTAGCGCAGTTGGTTAAGGCACTATACTACGAGCCAGAAGCTCCCGATTTCGATTCCCTAAGAAGTCATTGCATATATTTAATTGACCTGATCCTTCCAGCCGCACTAAGGCCCTGAGGTCGACTCAGCCTCTAACAGAAATGAGTACCAGGAATCTTCCTGGGGGTAAAGGGCGGCCGGTGCGTAAGGCTGACAACCTCACCGCCATCTGTGAGCCGATTGTCTAGAAAGTGTGGGAGCCTCGACGTCTCACAATCCTGTGGGCCTCTACTGCCTTTACCTTACCTTTACATTTATGGGCATACATGAAAAATTTCTAGAGCATCTACAGACTCTCTGCCATTCTCTAAAGAAAAATTTCATACGACTTCACGGGTACGTTCATCATCCGTCTCCATACCAAATTTCATGTTCCTGTACCAGCCTAGCAGTAAAAATTCGATAGCATAAGCATCGAACATAAAGGTCAACACAGATATGGCGCCATATTGGTATTTCGTCTTGTACAAAATATACTTAAATATAGCTGTATATTTCTAAGGCTTTGTGCCGCACAACATTTTTGAGCATTCACAAAATGGCTGCAATACCGTCATGGTCACCGTCACAGAAGTTCTGAAGACCCCCATGTCAGTATATGTACAGTAGAGAATTCAGAAATGCAAAAGTGGGTTAGACTTCATATGGAGGTGAGTGACAAATCCATCTAGTGGTTCCGAAGTTATTTAGGGACGGAACACAACACAGGTTTACACATCGACACGACTGACCGAAGTAGGGAGGAAAGTATGTACTTTTACATAAAAGCGGTACGTATGTTTAGACCTATTATAGGGATGCGAGTACAGGGTATACATATTTTAATATGGCTTTTTTCCTTGGCGTTGTCCAGGTCAGAAATGGAAAATCCGTCGCAAGTTGATCGCACCAGAATTTCGTCCCTCAACTCTTGAATCAAGTGTTCAGACCCTGAACTCCAGTACGGAGAACTTGCTGAACAGGTTGGCTACATTCACTGGTGGGCCTGAGTTCGATGTGCATCCCTTTATGAATTTACATGCTATGGACAATGTGTGTGGTGAGTTATGGCGCTGCTCATCTTAAAGATCTCTGGCAGGAGGCCTAGCTCGCACCATGACGCTCCTAACTACAAACTTCTTGCTTTCAGAAACATTTATGGACGCGAAAATCAACGCCCAACAAAACAGTGAATCGGAATTCGTAAGGGCAGTCAACGCGTAAGTTCAATACAATCCTAATTTTCTGGTTTTATGAAAGCATAAGCATGAGGAGCAGTCTAACTCACAGGCACAAGTGGGACGCAAGGTACCAGACGCAGTTACGTTATTTTGGGCAATCAAATCAACTTGCACTGTGAAAGTACGTTTCCGTGGTAGGGGAGACAGGTCTAGTTCGTTGCATGGGTAGTGGGGGGTGGAGTCCAACTGAGTCCACTTGGCACGGTGGCCACTGATTGGCCTATTGTAGCCAGCCCCGGATTATTATGATGACGGAGAATTTGGTGGAATGAATATTGGCAGGGGATACCGAAGTACTCGGAGAAAACCCGCCGCAGCGCCACTTCGTCCACCGCAAATCCCACTTGACCAGACCCGGGATCGAACAAGGGTCGCCGCGGTGGGAAGCCAGAGACTAAGCACTTGAGCTATGGCGCGGCCTGATTGCATGGCTAAGTAAGCATACAGGTAATAACTCATCCCGCTTGTGTTAGAGCATGTTACTAATCAACCAGTAGAAAGAAAAACTTCTCCTGGGGATGAAAATTGTTTAGCAATTCGTGGCTTATATTTTCCACATCGCCGAATAATTTTATTCAAATTGGAAAAATACTGGCGTCCTGCAAATTTGTGCGGTCAACGTAAGCCCATTTACAGCTTTACAGTCTGTTTATCCAACAGCGCATCTCACGCAGTGCACGAGCGAAGTAAAACCCCTCTTCTGCACCCCGACCTTCTATTCCGCATGTCGTCCTTGGGAAGAATGCAGGCGAGAAATCTGGCCACGCTGCATGCCAGGAACAAGATGGCCGTTGAAGAGAGGAAGGAACAACTGCTTCATACAAAGGGTGAGTGAACTGAGGAGACCAAAGTTACTGGGATTTAGCAAGGACTATGGCCATACCATAGCTCGGGCGGTTACGCGTCGGTTTCTCACCGCGACGGCGTGGGTTCGAGCCCAGGCCAGGTCATGTGGGATGTGTGTTGGACAGAGTGGTGCTGGGGCATGTTTTCTCCGAGGACTTCGGTTTCGCCTGCCAGTCTTCATTCTTATATATTTCTGGATGTGTGTGATTCAATTGTAATGTCTTTTTGGTTAAATTATATATATGGAACCGTTCGAGGGTGCTTAATTTCTGTTCTTTGCACTACGTAACTTTTTATGCAAATTTCTAAATGTGTCCTATATATTTTCAGATACAAAGGATCGCGTTCCAATCATGGACGTCTTGATTGAGCGATCGAAAGACGGCAGAGTTTCTGGTGATGTGGACCCGGCGGAGGAAATGAACACAGTTTTAATAGCAGTAAGTACGGTTTCGGTAGAACACATACGCCTACGTTTGAACCTTATGACTACAACGAAAGATCTGAGCCGTTCTCGGCTCAATGTCATTGCTGATACTCTCTGGCCAGTCGCTCCGTTTTCCTTGCAATCCCGTATCTCTACCCCTCCTTTGGTTCCAGTTCGGCATGGGTCAACTCATCCTTTCTATCCAGTGGTGCATCCTCCTGCCTCTGGCCCTCGTTTCGTCAACAGGTCTCCTGCGTCCTGAGTGCTCCTTGTCGAGAGCTCTTTTCGTTTTAAGCCCGGTGGGTACACATACCTCTAAACCACGTACACATGAGGACCGACGAAACATTCAACCACGGTGAAGCTATTTCTGTACAAGACCGTGAAGGTGCATAAAGATGTGAGACGTCGAGGCTCCCACATTTTTCTAGAAAATCGGCTCACAGATAGCGGTGAGGTTGTCAGCCTTACACGCCGTCCGCCCTTTGTCCCCAGGAAGATTCCTGGTATTCATTTCTGTTAGAGGCTGAGTCGACCCCAAGACCATAGTGCGGCTGGAAGGATTAGATCAATTGAAAATTCTGATGATCTCATCGTGAATCGAACCCGCTACCTTACGGCTTGTACCATAGTGTTTCAACCATCTACGCTACCGCGAGCTCCTAAAACAATTCATACAAAATAAACAGAACGTGATTAAGAAGAAGCGCGTGGGAGTTCACATTTGCCAGTGTAACAATTGCTGTTTCTTGCAGGGTTACAAAACAACGGCTGCAGCACTGAGTTTCGCTTGCTGGATATTGTCTCGGCACCAGGACGTACAGGTGAGAGAGAGAGAGTTAGTTCTGGACAGCAAAACGCAATGATTGCCGTCAGTTTACACGGAAACATGTTTTCAGGAGAAAGTGCTGATGGAACAGAAGGAAATATTTGGCGACTCGGATCGTCCTGCCACCTACCGTGACATTCAAGAAATGAAGTACCTAGAAATGGTAATCAAAGAAACCATCCGACTCTACCCATCTATACCAGTATTCGGACGAAAACTGCAAAAGGATTTCAATGTCGGTGTGTAAAATTCAGTTCTATTTCATAACCAAATTTTATGTTAAAAAGAACAATCTAGACAGAATGTGCGTTACTCTTCCACCTTCAAGAAATTTCAGGAATTCAATAATTTCCACGTAATCCTACACAAACATGAAAATGCAATATTATCATTTCAGGAGATTTTGTCATTCCTGCAGGCGCCAATGTGATGTTTCTGACTTACCAGATACACCGGAACCCAAAATATTACCCGGACCCAGAGAAGTTCGACCCGGACCGTTTTCTGCCAGAGAACATGAAGGGAAGGAGCCCGTACTGCTACCTGGCTTTTTCTATTGGGGCCAGAAATTGTGTGGGTATGTTCCTTCACCGCACTTCATATAACCCAAGTTAGCAGCTACTGAACAAATCCCTCTTTCCTGTATTTCTGCACCTTGCTCCAAACAAATGTTTTTAAGTTCCTCATCTTTTTCCTTTGAATCACTCGTGGCCCGTGGCTTTTGCTAAAATATCTTGTCTCTTTCTTTTGCCTCGCTCCGATGTCAAGGGGGTGAGATTTAATTCCTCACAATTTACCCTAATGTCAGATTGCCTATCGCTGCCTTAGTCATATTTTTTTATCTTGTATTTCTTTCAATGGAGGAGCTTCATAACGTGTACTGTTCTCCAAGTAGAATTAGAATCATCAAGTTATGGAGGATGAGGTGGGCAGGGCATGTAGCACGAATGGGGGTGAAGAGGAGTGCATGTAGAATATTGGTGGGAAAGCCAGAAGGAAAGAGATCACTAGGAAGATCAAGAAGTAGATTGGGTGGGAAATATTAAAATGGATCATAGAGAGATAGGATCGGATGGTATGGATTGGATTAATCAGGATAGGGACCAGTGGAGGGCTGTTGTGAACACGGTAATGAACCTTTGGGTTCCATAAAATGCTAGGAAGTTCTCGAGTAGCTGCACAAATGGCAGCTTCTCAAGGAGGGTTCAGCTCCATGAATGAGTGAGTGATTTCTTTAAATGTTCCTTATGTCGTAAAATTGTTAAGGACCATCTATAGGTTTTTAAGATGAACAGTTTTTAAGAAAATGACAGGCCTAAAGTCCGATTTCTGTTGCATATAAAATAGCCTTGCAGTGTGATTTATGCTGATGAATGTCTGTTCGTCTGACTAGGCGAGGCCTGCACCGAACCAAACTGAACCCCAAACCAACGCCTATATTTAAGAAAGAGAGGAATATGCAGTTTCGTATTTAAGTGTTTGCATTTCGATAGTTTCTCTTTTCGAGTTATGTGGTACTCTTCTTTTGCAAATTTAGGCCATTTTTGTATTAACAAGAATATTCTAAAAAAGGCTGGGCTTTCTGTGGCCTACCGCTAAACATCTTACTTTTCTTGGCATAAATTCAATGCCTGCTTCCTTACTCACTTATGGAGCTGAGCTCTTCTTGAGGAGAAGCCAATTCTTCTGTTATTCAAGAATTTCCCAGCATTTTATGGAACCCGAAGGTTCATTATCGTGTTCACAAGAGCCCTACACTGGTCCCTATCCTGAGCCAGATCAATCCAATCAATAACATCCCATCCTATCTCTCTAAGATCCANTTTTTCTTCTACCCTGAAGATGGAGGCGATACGTTCCTCCGAAACGTCGGTTAACACCACATATACACGGTGCCAAATCCCAGAAGACTGCTTTCTTCATAGTCACCGCCGTGAAAGCCTCAAATCTTACATTTAAATATTGTCCACCCACCTACGCCTTGGTCTTCCCAGTGGGCTCTTTCCTTCTGGCTTTCCCACCAATATCAATGCCTGCTTGGGGCGCGGAAATCTTGGGAACCTGTTAGGCTCATTTGTGCCCTCTGCAGCCCACGGGCAAACAGTAAAGAAGGTGGCCAGACCTATACCAAGAGGAGCTTCAGCAGAGATGTGTACGGACCAAAAGATGCACTGTTCCTACCCACGGGGTCGGGTCGGGTCGGGCCGGGCCGACTGAGTTCCTTCACCTTTCTTTAGGTGGCTTGATAATCATATGGACGAAGACTCAAGCTATAATAAATCATGTAAAAATGTCTTTAAATGGAATTCCACCATTTTTATGGGGCTCTTTTCCATGTACAACATTTGATTAGTACAGGCCTGTTATATCCTGTTGCTGTAATATCGCCTTAGAGAATGCTGGTCTACGTATCTCCGTGTTTACGCGAGGTTACTAAGGAACTTTCCACAATATTCATACTACGGGCTTCTCATTTCAAAGGAACACACACATTCGAGTCCAGACACCTTACGCAATCTAACACGAATACAATGGAGTATTTTTTCTACTGCTAGTGGTGTTGGACTAAGTCCCTTGTACTGCGGCCACTTGGGGCCTATTGTACCAGCCCCAGATGATAGGTGAGGGTGATTGTGGAGCAGTTGGTGGAATGATAATGGGCAGGGGAAACCGAAGTATTCGGAGAAAACCTGCCCCAGCACCACTTTGTCCACCACAAATCCCACTTGACCAGACCCGGGATCGAACCCGGGCCGCCGCGGTGGGAAGCCAGCGACTAACCGCTTGAGCTATGATGCTGCCCTATACAATAGAGTAACTGTTAACACGAGAAAACTTAGAAATTCATCAAAATAGTTTTAATACATCGAGACTGGTGGGGCCCAGCCTAACCATCTTAGGGATAGGCAGCCTCTGATGCTGACCACAGTCACATTCACAAGACAGTTTTAATCAAGATTTCTGACACTAAGATTCGTTAAGATCCATTAATTCGTCTCGGAGATGAGACGTGTGTAACGTACATTAGTTTTATCTATTTCCTACAAACAATCCGGCAAAATGTACATCTAGAACCTTGAAATACATTTCGCAGATCCAGGAGCCCTGTAAAACTGTTATAGTGTGAAATGTCCTTCACAGACTACAATGTACTCCCGTGCCGTGTGTGTTACAGGCATCAAGTACGGAATGCAGGCGATCAAAGGCACGCTGTCCGCAATGATAAGAAAGTTCAAGATTCTGCCAGGCAGCACGCCACTCTCTCTGGATTCCATGATCACGCTGAAATCACTAACTGGAATGAAAGTCAGACTCGAATCTAGATAGAAATCCAAGTTTCGTTCGCCCTGCTCATGTTATCGAATTACTGCTTAGGCCTACATAGACACAGGCCTTAAGTTCTAACCCTTTGTTCTGCCTACTTGTGGGTCGAAATGTCAGGTTCACTAATCCAAGAGATGCTTACAAATGAATACACTTCACTAAAGTTGTTACTTTTGTAGATCTATAAATGAATAATAGAACTGAAATGAGCTGTGTTGTGTATCATGCTCACTTTAAATTTCTTTATCGCTTATAAAAATTTATTTCTCTGTAACAGCATATGATCTATTTGAACTTTATTTTTGGTGGTACTGCATATGATGGTTTTGTATGTTAAAGAACAATATGTAATAATTTACAACATACAAAATAAAAAAATTTAAAGTAAAATATTATTTATATGTATCGGTTTACTTTTCTCAAAATATCACTTTGATTAAACTATAATATATTATATGAAATAATTGTTTATGATGAAGGCATGACGCATTCTTGCGCTGCGAACGAAAGAAAGGACCTCAAGATGTGGTTGAAAGCTGAGAATACAATGAACAAAGAAACATGGAGGTCCTCAAGCTTCGATAATGGAGCTGACGTCTCCTTGCTACAAGAAATCGGCTTGTTAACTTGATGTTACACGCGACCACGGACTTTGGAGGGATTCTTTGAAGCGACCTAAATAACCTAAAATTTTTATGGGATTACGAGCATAGAACATCAGACGTTTCTATAGAGCTGGTTCGCTGGGAAAACTGCAAAAGGGGTAGGAGAGTTTAACTTAGATTTATTGGGGATACGGGAAGTCAGATGTGGGACAGATACGGAGAACTAGCAGGCCACGTGACAAGACAAGCATTACTCATTCTTCTTCTTTTCTTGCCTCTCCTATGAGCAGTGAATAGAGCAGAATTCTCTGTTAAGAGTAGTTCTTGCTTATTGCTTAATATACATAAAAGAATAAAGTAAAGTAAAGCTATCCCTGTAACAGGCCATGACGGTCCCACATTATCTAGACCAGGCAGCTCAACTTGTACAGAGGGCCACTTCAGCCCTATAAATAATAGTCCAGGGCCGCACTTCAAAATAAAAATATACATTACATTATGATACAAGGAAATTTAATTCTATTTATTGTTTAGGAATAATTTCAATATAATTACCTAAAGTCACATATCTTACGGTTTTAAAAAGCAAGAGAATGCCATTTTTGACAAGTATCAAACAACTTTTCAATATGTAAAAAGAGAGATTACACAAAAAATTGTGTTAGAAATAGCAAAATATTTAATTTCCTGCAGTCTACTAATTTATGTCTGCGTGAGTCTTCTTGTCTTCTGGTCTGTTGGAAAATTGTCTTTACAAAAAATATTTCTACTAAAATTGTAATATTGATTTTAATTTCAATTAGCTCTAAATTTGAGGGGCGGCACTTAGTGGCTATGGGGGCCGCATGCGGCCTGCGGGCCTCATGTTTTATAAGGCTGATCTAAACAATCGGCTCATGGTCTGTTGGAAAATTGTCTTTACGCGCCGGCCAGGTCAGCCTTACGCGCCGGCAGCGCTTTACTCCACAGGAAAATTATTTAATGAATTCCTGTTAAAGGCTGAGTAAACCCCAGGGTCTAGTGCGGCCGGAAGGATTAGTTGAATTGAAAAAAAATCCAATGACCTCATCGATATTCGAACCCGCGACCTTCCAACTTGTAGCACAGTGTCTTAATCACTAGGCTACTGCAGATGTAAGTAGCACACAAGATAGGCCTAAATATGAACGTCAATAGATTTACTATTGTACGAAGAAATAGGCTTAACCGAGTTTTCTGCCTGTCCGCCATACACCCACAATAATCCTACAGAAATATTCCTGTAGACATTTTTGTTCTCTGAAATTATGCACCAAATGATGAAAATGCTCACACTTTTTGTAACATAATGATGTCACTGTTTCCTGGATCAACATGTTTACATAAGACATACATAATTTTCTATGAATTAGCCAGCAGTTACTTACTGAGTTCTGACATGCCGCCTAAAAGCCGGAGTTTCCGAGCCAGAGCGGGTGTCCATTGCTAGGCAACGACTCGGTAGTCACACTTCGGCTACAATAAGAGCAGTAAAAGCACAAGTGTCTGGGTGACAATTAAGCACGTTCACGCGACAACGCGTACATAGGCAGACCGTTCACATGGAAATGAATATCAGAACTAGTTCAGTTCCCGCGGTAACCAGTAAGCTAGCTACAATTGCATCGAAAAACGGGAAACAGAAGCCTTGAACAGGGAGTCTTCTAGACCGTCTGGCTGTCACATGTCACATGTAACAGAACAGAACAGAACAGAACAGAACAGAGCAGAGCTGAGAGCAGAAGAATGCAGCAGAGCTAAGAACTAAGGAAGAAACAATAAAGACACCCCAGCAAGAACATGAGTGGAAAGGAGAAGAGCAGTTGAAGAGAGAATAGCAGTTGAAGGGAGAAGAGCAGTTGAAGAGAGAAGAGCAGTTGAAGAGAGAAGAGCAGTAGGAGAGAGAAGAGCAGAGTGAAGATGAAATTCGAGAGACGACAGACTATTCAAGTTGCATCGTGTGGAACACGTTAATTTTGAGTAATTGTAATTTGCAATTGTAAACAGCGTATCCAATAAATCGATCAGTTCACGCGGCAGCATCTGCAGTGTTAAAGAGACGGTCTTCCAGATATGAAAAAGAAATCCTTTGAAAATTGATGCCCGAGAGTCCGCATGCACTCACAGCTAATCGCTTTCCTGAGTCCACATCCCGAAACTACGCTTGCCATGTCTCACCAATATTTACCGAAAACTTTAATTGAGTCTGGTTTAAATATTATGAACAAACCTATTCGTTCAATAGGCCCTATAATCTAGTATCTTATAGTATTCACATCCTATTGGGGAATTCAGACATAGGTCTGCTGTTTTAATTTCTTAACCTAAGACCGCTTCTCTCATCTAGTGGTCAGAGTTCTTGGTTACAGATCCAGAGGTCCGGGTTCAATTCCCGGGGCTACCAGATTTTTTTGGAAGTATTTGGTCTGGAACGGGGTCCACTCAACAACGTGAGGATAATTGAGGTTCAAGGAAATAGCGGCTCCGGTCTAGAAAACCGAAATTAACGGTCGTGGTGATCCGTTGCGCCGACCACGCGACACCCACTAACATCAAAATTTGGCACTAACTTCGCCTACAAGCGGCGGTCGTTCGGTCATATAGTTCGCCTGCGGACTCAAGCAACGGAGTTAGTTAGTTTGTTTGTATTGATTTACCAGTCTTGCTTGATCTGCTTCGATAAATTTGACTGGGTTCATCCTGGTCCGTCAGTAATAGTATAAAAGATTAAAATATTTATCAACCACACTGGACGGCGTTAATAATCTTTTACATAATTACTAGTATGACGGACCAGGATGAATCAAGTCAAATTGAACGAAATTCGCATATTCATAAGATAGCGACGGGATAAATGTAATTTACATGAATACAATACAATGTAAGCATTAATAGAAGTCGGTTCCGGATAGCGATGTATATGGACTATGGGCTGGCAAGTTAGGGAACAGATGGTGATGTGAAATGAGTGCAGTTGAGTATCCACTTAAGCCCGAGAAACTCTAACAAAGTGCTTAGAACAAGAGTAAGACGAAAAAGCAAAGCCTTCGCTGTGTTTCATAGATTAAGCACCAAGCCAAGAAGACGTGTGAGGAGGCAGAGGTTTAGTTCCACATTTATTAAGTAGATGGGGATGAGTTGACAGCTTCAAACCCCTTCTGCTTTGACCCCGGGGATGGTAGCCATTGAGAAGGAGGCTGGGCGGACCCAAGAGCCGTTCTGGACATTATGGAGAGGCAGAGATCTTGCCCTTTCGGTGAATCGAACCCACGCTGTAGCCCGTCGCTATTGCAGCTCTTGTAGAGCGAGTGTACTGCAAGAATATCAGAGATGACACGGCTTCGAGTCTGATCTGAGATGTCATCTGACATAATGGGTTTTAAGGCGGTTTGAACCCATTATTCTCCGTACACGATGAATTAGAAACACGACTCGTGAGGTTGTGGAATAGCTCCAAGACCGATATAAGATTCATCTTCTTCAAAATGGGACGAGACAGAAGGGCATAACTAATTCTCAGTGGATCAATGGATGTTTGGTATGTGTGTTTATTCTGTGTTTGTGTTGCCCTGTATTTAGGTAGAGGCCTTGCGACAAGCTGATCACTCGTCCAAGGAGTCCTATTGCCTGTAAAATGATCAAAATGAAAAAAGAACTCGACACCGTAAGGCATAAGAGGAACGGATTGAGTACGTAGGACTCTTCAGATAGAGAGGGGGTTTCACTGTTTCATGTCCACAGCCGCAAGTGGAAACGGCAGTTACTGAAGCACAGTTACGCGATCGCTGTAGGGTAATCAGTTTTTCCTTTTCTTTCTTTCTCTATGGCTCAACAGCAGGACATTGCATCTCTATCTTGCGGATACATATTAATATTAAGAATAAAGATAAAAGTAAAGGTAACCCTGTAACAGGCCGTAGAGGTCCATATGGTTGTGAGACGTCGATGCTTCCAAATTTTCTAGACAATCGGCTCATAGATTGCGGTAAGGTTGTCAGCCCTAAGCGCCGGCCGCAATTTACCCCCAGGAATATTCTTGGTACTCATTTCTGTTAGAGGATGAGTCGACTCCCAGGGCATTAGTGCGTCTGGAAGGATTAGGTCAATTGGAAAAATCCAATGACCTCATCGGCAATCGAAACCGCGACTTTACGGCTCGTAGCATAGTGCTCTAAAAAGTACGTTAACGCCTGCGTTGATTTTAGGAATACACGAGTTACAGAATGAGTTAGCGGCCTCCGTAGTCTAGAGGTAGTTAGTTAGTTATTGGAGAGGGTGGGTTTCCCCATGCACTTAGACCTGTAGTGGTCCATTGTGCTTCCCTCTATGATTTCTACCAGTCTCTATATCCTACCGGTACTGGTGCTTACCATCAGTCCCGCCCAGCCAGCGAGACCGGCTCTACTAGCTGAGAGGTATCTATAATGCTTCCCCCATCTACCAGAGGTATTAGAGACTGCTGTTGGGCGGGAAATATCCGTAATTTGGCTCAGTGACCTCCTTTGGAGATATGAGTTTCGTTTACGTGCCGTAAAGCTACGACACGGGACCCACGGCTTAAAGTCCCTCCCGGAGGACTTGTTCCCTGAATTTTTCCGC